TCCCTATTTCTGTCACCATGGGAATGTGTCCGTTTGGCATCTGTTTTCTGGCTCCCGTAGCCAGGATGCAAACCCCATGGCATCATGGAATCTGCCCTCCGCTGTGGTCCTCCGGGTCTAGAATGGCACCTGGCATGTCCTGGGCAGCTGGTAAATAACAGCTGGGTCAGCGACTGGCACACACCAGGCACACACCAGGTACACACCAGGCACACACGAGGCACACACCAGGCACACACGAGGCACACACCAGGCGCTCACCAGGCGCACACCAGGCGCTCACCAGGCGCACACCAGGCACACACCAGGCACACACCAGGCGCTCCGGAGACAGCCACTGAAGGGCAGGGTGGATGGACGAGGGTGCGGTCGGCCCTGCAAGGCGGCTGAGTGTCCCAGCTTGAAACCCAGAGGCAGCAGCACGCCGGCCGCAGTCCACGCGCCTCCCCTGCCCCGCACCTCTGCTTCCCTTTCAGTCTTCAGGTCCTCCCCGGGGCCAGAGGCGTGGGAACGCACCCGTAGCCTGCGCCTCTGCAGCCCAGATGCCTGGCTCCCAGCTCCGGCTGCAGCCTGCAGTGTTCGGCTTGAACCCCACAGGCCAAGCGTGCCTTGCCCAGGCCGGCGTCCTCTCTACCTGCCTCTCTGTCCCCGGTGCATCTGACTTCTGTTCCTCCCTCAGGCCGCCTTTTTAGATCCAGGGCCCATATCCCTCCCAAGTCCGAGGCCGGCTGCTGAAATCCACGTGGATCCAAGAAGTGACAGAACGCTCAGCACCTCCCAGGGCCCTCTGCCTCTGAAAAGGTGCCCAGAGTGACACAGGCGGAAGGGTCCCAGGCCCTTCTCCCTCCCAGCCAGACCAGGCCTCGATGGGCAGATCCCCGGGGTGGGCCTCATGCCTGCTCTGATCCCCGCCGCTCTGTCCTGTATGGCTTAGTCTGCAGCGTCCCCCGCCCAGGCCCACTGCAGCCAGACACGAGGATTCCTGGATGACAGGGCCGCACACAGCTCTCCGATCTGCTCCGGGAGCAGGAAGAGATCGTGTCGTGCAGCGCTGCCGGGCAGGCGGGGAACCCAGGCCAGGAATTTCCGTCTAGGCCTTGTGTGCCTGCAGACACAGATGGCGAATTAGAAGCAGCCAGCCGGCCGTTCACGCAGCAAACATTTACGGACCACTGCCCGGGGGGTGAGGTTATCCACTCACAGGCGCGAGCCCTCGAGAGTTCCACACAGGGGAAGAAAGGCCAAAAGGCTTTCTAATCCTTCCCGAGCGTGAACCCAGTAACTCTGGCACGATGACGGCCCTGGCACGGCACGGGCACATGGCACGCACCCTCGCTCCCACTTAGCTTGGCCTCCTCAGGAAGGCGAGTCTGGAAAGTCTCCTTTATAAAATCACCGACATCACTCGGGACGTGTCTCAGGATGGTCTTGCCACTTGGGGCCAGTTAGAATAGAGGAGCCTGAGCATAGAGCTGGGGACGCCAGGGGCTCCCAGAGCTGCAGAGCCCTTTTACGCCCTCCTGTCTCTGAACAGAGCCACCGCACAGCCTCCTCGGCAGCAAGGAGTCTCCCAGCCCCAAGCGCTTCAGAGAGCAAGACCCGACATCCTCAGCGGGCTCCCCGGCACGTTCGAAGGGAGCACTCGGCTGTGGGCCAGTCGGAGCTGCTAAGAGAGGGCCAGGAGACAGACTAGAAAGGCTGGCCTTGGACTCTCTTCCAGGAGCCCGTGCTCCAGGCTAAGGAGCCCAACTTGCACCGTCAGTGATTAAGAGCTCTGGGGACCTGACCACGGGAGCTCTGTCGCTTCTGCGTCTGGGAAGGTCGCTCAGAGCAGAGCAGCAGGGGTGAGGGGCGGGGAGAGACCGGAGGATGGCCGCCCTCAGAGGCACACCCGAGAGACGAGGTCCTCCTCGGGGTGGACAGGTGTGGAAGGGCGGGCCAGTGCAGAGGGACACGGCACAGACGGCGCAGCGAGTGAGGGAAGCAAGAGCGGGTGTCCAAGGCACAGGGCAGGCCACCCTGGGTGGTGACACTTCACCGCACCCGGGGAGGCAGTGAAAAGGGCACGTCCAGGGAGAACTGAAAGTCAGACTTTGCACGTGCCGAGCTCGAAGCACGTCACAGGGGGAAGGGCTGGGTCAAGGGCTCAATATCCACACGGCCTGAAGCTCAGGACAAAGGGTGGGGTCGGGGCAGAGGTCAGAGAGCCGCCCCAAATAACATCCAGGCCAGAGCGCAGGTGAAAAGGTCCAAGAGCTGCAGGGGTCCCCAGGGAGAGTCCGAGCCGGGCCCTCCGGCATTTACGGGGAAGAAGGGGAAGGACCATCCTCCTTTGAGAAGCTGAAAGACCCGGGAAACTAGGGTGCCCCTACCCACGAATGCCAGGGCGACTTGAACGCTGGGGAGTGGTCTGCCCACCCCTTCCTCCCCCGGGAGGCCAGCCTCTCTGCCTCCTGGTCTGCACACACAGACACCGAGCTCCAGGCTGTGGCCCAAGAGCCGGCGCCAGAGTTCCTGGCGGGGCAAGAGTCTTTTCGTTCAGGAAGATGCCAGCCTCCACCTCAGTCCAGGGTGGGGACGGAGAATCAGCCGGAGCAGATGGCAGAGCCAGAGGAAGAGCTCTCGCACCCACAGAGCTGGGCCAAGTCAGGAATGGGGCAGCGGCGCAGGTGGCATGGAGGTGGGAGAGGCCGGAGAGAGGGGACAGGGAGCCGTGCACAGCACGGGGACCTGGGGTCTGCCAAGAAGGAGCCAGCAGGCCCTCCAGGGAGCAGGGGCCACCAGCCTCAGCTCCGGATGGGTCCGACTAGCACTTGAAGTCATTCGCATTTTCTGGCTGGGATGGGAAGCCCCCACGTTGCCAGTAACTTTCCATAAAGGCCATGCTACATGCAGATACCTTCCTTAGCGGTTTGCGTGGGCATGGGTCTCAGGCTGGGTGAGGAAAATGGGGCCATGTTCCTGCCCTAAGATGGCAGTGCGGAGCCAGGGAAGGGAGGCACGGTGGCAAGTTTATGGCTTAGAGAGCGCTCAGGCTGAGGAGGTTTCCTCAGACGCCACGCCAGGAGGGAGAGCAGGCGCCTGCCGCTCCAGCACAGGATACCGGCCGGCAGAGCCCTGCCCATCGGCACGTGTCCCTACATCTCGTCTGGTTTCAGTTTCTGGCTTGAACAAAAGAGCATGATATTTATAGTGGTGCAAAGAGAGGTGTGTCTTGAGTTCATCAAGTTGATTTCATCCCCCATCACGTTCTATTCTGTTCTCACGTCAAACTGACACCCTCTCTGGAAGACCGGGATGTGATGTCGACCCAGACAGCCCCAGGACAGGGGTGGCGGGAATGCTGTCAGGACAGGCAGGTGCAGCAGGGCGGGCTGTGTTACACACCTGTGTGCAGGGACCAACGCCTCACCTGACAGGTTTGGTCATGCGTGACGAGAGGCATGTCCTGAGTTAGAAATGGGGCCGGAGAGGACGAGACTTAGGGAGAAAGGAAGGAAGGATCAACACGCTGAGGCCGACACTGTCAGCTGAGGAGGGTGAAGTCAAGTGTCAGCTCAGGTCAGCTGGTGGTGGCTTTGCCTGTGGGGAGGGAATTCATGGCTGCGAATGGCCTCAAGCAGAAAGGGTGCTAGGATCAATTAATCATGTCTGCCGTGGGAGTGGGAGGAAGGGTACAGGTATACTTGCCAAGTACTTTCCATGCCTGGTGTTGATAAGAAAAAGTGTGCATATGGCAGGGGAGGGGGCTGCTTATCCTCAGAGCTAGTCTTTTCATACTAATTACAGAAAAGCTCTTTCCAAAAGAACAGAATGTAAACCAAAGGAGGAGCTCCGTGCTCCAGTCGTTTCTCAACCCCTTGAAATGCTCTTCTCAGACTGGTGCTGGGTATCCTGGATCCACGGAATTCAAAGATGAGTTTGAAGCAGAAAGGGCTGGTTAGGGGGGCAAACGATTGCTGGGGGCCAAGGGACGTAAGTGCTAAACAGTTCCCATCGGATTTGGGAACAGGATGCAGAAAAGGGGAAAGACCCATCCACAGAGGACCAGGTGGGAACTCGGAGGAGACACAGGCTGGGTGGCTCCGTCAAGGTGCCGGGCGCTGTCGGCCGCACAGGGAAGCCCCACAGCGTAATGAGATGCTTTTCGAAGGTGATTCAAAATCATCTACAAACATCACAACCTCCATTTAGGCACATAGTTAGAATATGTACATATGCCCAATATGTACTCAAAAAATGGGGAGGAAAAGCATAAAAAGCACGGTCTAAGTGGGTAAATTTAAGCTCTCCATTCTCTTCTGTATTTTCTAAGCTGTTAAAAATGATCAGCATTACCTTATTATCAGCCAAGCGCCAGTGGAGGTTATTTTAGCGTGAGTCTGAGTAGACGAGTGGGAGGGGGTGAAGACTGGGCGGGCAGCAGGGTGGCCAGCACCCGGTCTGTGGACAGGGGTTCCCAGGGTGCGAGGCTTTCGGAGCTACACTGACAACGCCTCCATCAAGTGTGGACAGGCCGGCACCCGCGCTGGAGGCCGAGGCAGCATAGCAGTGGAGAGAGGAGGTTTTGAGGGGAGGGCGGAGTGAGGGCCGAGAGGTTTGGAGCATAAATGGAGGCGGAGAGGAACCGTTAGCTGGGGAGAGAGGCTGGACTCACAGGGAAGAGAGTAATTGCTAGGTGTGCTGGGTAGGAGAGCTGCCTGGGAAGAGATGCATGCTCTGAGCAGGAGACGCTCCCTCGGAGACGGGAGGGCAGGAGGGAGGCCAGGCTGGTTAGAAACACGCTTGCTGACACAGGGGAAGGAGACTGAGGGAGTGCACGCCTGAGAGCTGGGAGCCAGGTCAGGCTGGGAAGCCCCTGAGAACTTGGTGTTGCCCACAGTGGGTACCCCATGCCCTACTGGGGTGGACGGTGTAGCTTTTCCCCTAGGAGTCGCATTGGAAACTCCGCATCCCCTCCCAGCTGCCACACACCCCGTGACCCCGCTGGGGCCACTCACCTCTGCAGGAGGGCAGGGGGAAGTCCCACGTGGCACTGTTCTCGGAGCCAGCGTGGCAGGTGAGCACGGCGTGGCCCTCCAGGAAGAAGCCGGGGTTGCAGCTGTAGCGGACCTTGTCGCCGAGGTTGAAGGTAGAGCCCTGCTGGACGCCGTTGGGCAGCCTCCCTGGGTTCCCGCACGTGTGGCTGGGGAGAACTGCGGGAGAGAACCATGCAGGCTGTGAGCAAGGCTCGAGCCCGGATGTTCAGCCGTTGGGCAGCCTCCCTGGGTTCCCGCACGTGTGGCTGGGGAGAACTGCGGGAGAGAAGAACCATGCAGCCTGTGAGCAAGGCTCGAGCCCGGATGTTCAGCTTCCCAGCAGCCCGCAGGCCAGTCCCCCCAGGACTCGCTTCTTCTCTGCAGCACGGGGCTGACCACCGCTGGTCTGCTCACCTTCCAAGGAGAGATTTCTAACAGACATGCAGTTCTCTGGCCTTTCCTAGAGTGAAACCCTGGAGGAGGGTTTCATCCAAACGGACCATGAAGGAGGCATTCCCAAGGACATCGCTAATCTCTCGAGCATGGCTGTCCTGATTGTGGACTCCACGTTTCCCCTAACCGACAGCATGGAACGGCCCCAGAGCTGGAACGGAGCAGGTGCTCGTGCACACCAAGGCCCTCTCTTTCACGTGTGGTCCGCCTGGCAGCCAGAGGGAGACGTTAACCCAGCAGGCTCCAGGCAGCTAGAGAGGCTGGTGAACGCCGGAGCTGGCAGTGAGGTGGGAAGAGGAGAAGTTCTCGTCAGCCTGGCTCGTGCAAAGGACAAACTAGGAACGGAGAAAGTGAGGGCCGAGCGTAACTAGAGCCAGATCAGCCACCACCAGCTGCCAGTCTGCTCGCCTGATCCTAAGGAGGTGGCCTTGGCAAGGGGAGGAGACTGTCTTGGCCGCCGGTTAGGAGGGAAGGGGGACACAGCGCCGTGGACCGTCGGGCACTGGGTTTTGTGTTCCCGC